TGAATTCAGAGTCATCCATCCACGTGAGACAAACACACATTTAAATAAGACTTGTATGTTTTATCTCTTATTTTTAATCTTTGTAAAAGTGAATCATGTTTCCTCTTCGTTAGCTTTGGAACGTTTCTGTGCGTTGGATTCAAAAATGGAAGAAAAGAAAAATTGTCTGGAGACTTTGAGTTTAAACCAAAACTTTATTGAGCTCGTGTCTGTTGACGATGACTCTGTTGATTTTCAGTGCAGCCGCCCATCGACCTGAACTCCATCCGCTCCGCCCCTTTCCTGCTGTCGCCGCCCAGAGTCCTGTGAGTCACACCTGATCCCAGAACACATCTGGGTCACATCTGTCGAGTCCATAGACTGTTTATAAAAACCCACAGTTCTGAGAAACGACTGAAATGAGTCGGAACAAAAAGAGTGAGAACGTCTGGTTCTGGTGAAAGTGTTCAGTGTCAAACTATGGTTGTTCACTGTTACACACCTGTAACGTGAAAACAAGCCTCGTGTGTTATAGTGAGTTCTTCTCTGAGTTACTTCTTTGTGTAACTTCTGGTTGAATGTGTTCAGCTCATCTTCAGATGGAACTCAGCGGAGTCACAGATCCTTCACTGCGACAGACACCGGTGAGATTCTCTGTTTGCTTCAGTCAGGTTCTCTCTGTTGTTATTCAGACGTCAGCTCGAGGAGGATGTTGAAGGCTGAGCGATCCCACACGTTCGTTCTCGGAGGAGAAACAGTTTGATAATCTCAACCATGTATTTGTCATAAACAGAAACTGTGGGATCAAGATCTTTGTTTTATTCCCTGAAGAAAAACACATGATGCTGCGACGACAAAGAGAAGAACATGGATCTAGATCCTTGATTGAATCCGATCAACTCTAATGACTCGTTTCAATAATAGTGACTGTAAAGTTTTTACTCTTTAAATCTCTAAAACGTGAGTTCTTCCATCCCACAGAAAGTAATCCCAGCTACGAGAATCCAACAGAAGGTAAAATCACTTTTCTTTCACTTCGAGCAGCAAAACTCTTATTTTCAATCTTCAGAATCTTCAGAATCGTTTCATTGAAAATATTTGTTCTTCATGTTTAATGTTTTTGTAACGGAGGTGAACGGTGATCTGCAGTTCAACATGAACCTGAACGCACCTGATTCCATCACTTTCAGCCGCTGACCTTGATTGATTGGTTGGTTGGTTGGTTGATTGATTGTTCACTCAGAACTTTATTGTGAAGGGCTGGGACATGTTGAGTCTTGTCAGCATCCTCTTTGGACTTGTTGTCTTCGATTGTCCAGGTTGTGGACTGTTGTCCTGTGTTTCACGTGTTGGTCTTGACTTGTTCCAGATGTTTGAACCACTGCTTCACTGTGGATTGTTTGATTGTTTGATTTGTGCAGGAGCAGAATACGTGAACCCTGACGCTCACCTTCCTGACAGTGATGTAGAAGATCCAGGCTACATGTAGGTCGACTCTTTCAAACCAGCTCCACTAGTCTCTGATTCATTTCACTGATTTTTCCTCTGAGCTCATCATCTTCTCCTCCTCTTCCTCTGCAGCATTGTGATCCCCGACCGCGAACCTTCAATCAATCAGAGCCGAGCCTCGACCCCCAGTTCAGGTTCGGTTTGAAAACAGTCACAGATCGAAAAAAATGTCTTGTGTCAAAAACCTGCTGGGGACGACGTCTTTTTATTTAATGACCTGTTTCATTTGTTTGTTGGAGCGTTTGACCACAGACACGAGTCTCACTCACAGACACGAGTCTCACTCACAGACACGAGTCTCACTCACAGACACGAGTCTCACTGTCCTCAGCTCCACTGACAGATGTGTGACCTCGTGTTAAAGTAGGAGAGAACCAAAGCTGATCAGCTGTTTGCTTTTATCCACAGATGTTCGAAACGATTACGTGAACCTCGGAGGTGAGTGTTTGACATTTCTGTGATTTCATCCACAAACACTGTAACTGTCTCTTCAATGTACTAAGATACTCATTAGTGAGTTGATGTTAAATCATCTCATTCCAACAAGATGAGGAACAAGAGAAACAAGAAGAACAAGCAGAAGAAGAACACGAGGAACAAGAAGAAGAAGAAGAGGAACAAGAAGAACAGGATTACATGAATGTGCATTCTAAAAGTGAGTTCAAGGTCTGAGTTCTTGTGACACGAGTCCTCGTCAGTCTCCGGAGAATCTGAACTTTATTTTCATGTTGCATCAGAGACGTCGGCTCACAGCGACACGGACACTGACGATGAAACTGACGATGATGATTATGATGATTATGAAGGAAACTACGTCAATCAGCCTCCGGTAAGTTTGATCCCTGATGTTTTTCTCCCTGAGGAAGCAGCCGCTCACTTTGTCTTCTTCCTTCCAGATGATTCCGTCAGCTCAGAGCGTGATGGGACGCAGACTGACGGACTGAAACTGACCACTGTGACATTCTTAAACCACCACGTTGCTTCCATGATGTTTCGGCCGCTGACAACAGAACCTGTGGAAACTTATCTTGGTCGGAACGTTCCTCCACAGTTTCTGTTCGAAGTTTGTTTTAGTTCTTTATTTCATTTCTCTTTTAGTTTGTTGCTGTAGATTAAACTTCTGAACGAGGAGAAGTTACTTTAGGTTTTTTCGTTCAACTCGCTCCTTTATTTCGTTTTTTTCTTTAACTGATAAATTGTGTTCTTATTCCCTCTGACATCACCCGAGATTTAGAGGAACTGACTTTACTGACAACTCCTGAGAATGTGTTCATTCATACGTGTATTTATGTGTTTTAACCGTGTTGATATGAAATCCAACTGTGACGAAGTCAATTAAACCTTCAACAAAGCTTTAAAATGGATTAGACTCAGTTTCTCCTGATGTTTAATGAAGTTTCGGACTTTTGACTCATCGATCAGTTCACTGCACGTAGACTGGAAACAAAGTCTTTGGTTGTGATATTAATGTTGATGTAAATTGAATCAAAGGGTTTTTTTCCAGTGGTTTTATTATTAATGAACTGGTTTCGTCTGTAAAAGGACAGAGGAGGGACGGGGGGGGACGGGGGGGAAACAATGTGTCCAAAATGTTTCACCAGTTAGTGTCTTCAGTCCAGCTTCAAGTCCTCGTGTGGAAACAGTCTGTACTTCAGTTTTAAAATCTGTCTGCGTCTCTGGGACATACGGGTTAAAACAGGCTTATTTGATGTCGTAGGTGGGAATGTTGTGAGATACTCGGCCGCCATCGCTCCTGAATCCAGATGTGACGAGGACAGTTCAGTTGGAGGAGGGGTGGAAGGACAGCTGCTGGGTGGGGTGAGCCTGAACCTGCACAGCTGTGAGACAACACACACCAAGACAATTCAACCCAGTTAAACATGTTTCATCAAGTTAATCACAGAACAAACACCGTAACAACACACGGACTGGACAGAGCTAGGCTAACGTTTCCCCCCGTTTACAGTCTTTATGCTAAGCTATGTTTCTGGTTCAATAAGGTTTCACCTTGGGGTGGTCCGATGTAGAAGTGTTGTGGCGCCCCCTGTTGGGTCGGCGGGCCGTGTTGGGGGTTGGAGCTGCCGCCCTGCTGGGGGGGTGCGTAGTGTAGCATGAGGGGGGGCCCGTGGCCGGCAGAGTGGTGGGGTCCTGTCATGCCTCCGGTGACGTGAGCCTGTGAGGGACAAACACATGAAATCAGTTTTTTACTGATTCTTCTTTTTCACGTTTAACAAACTGATATTCACGAGTGTGAAGTTCGGAGCAGCTCGATTTAACGTAAGAGACAAACACCCTCCAAAGCGGTTTGTCGTGGGAGTTGAACAGCGTTGTCAGACCTGTGTGAGCTGCCCGATGGAGGGGAAGCCGTGCGACAGCTGCTGGTGGGCGGGGAGGCTGTACCCCTGCATGGTGTAGGAGGCCTGAGGGGAGCTGTGGCCCGGCGGAAGGTTGGGAGGAGTGGGAGCCGACAGGCCTCCGGAGTGAAACATGGATTGAGGCTGAGGGCCACCGTGACTCTGAGAGGAACAAAAACACAGCAGTGGTGAGATATCGTCACGAGTGGACATCAGGACATGAAGAAGAGACAAGTCCATCGTCCTCAGAGGATCAATCTGCAGTCCAATATTTTCACAACTCTCAATGATTTGTTCTCTGGTTTTATCATAAAATCGATGGTTAAACGAAAAACCTACGTGAGCGTGTCCTGGGCTGGGCGCACTGTGCTGGGGCAGGGGCTGGTTCCCGGTGGGGGTGCTGGAGGGCTGAGGATGGAGGAGGGAGCTCGAGTGGTGAGAGAACGACTGAGGAGCTGAGAACCAAGGAGAAGATTTCGTTTCACTGGACAGTTGTTAAAAGAACTTGACAGAATCTCTGACGCTCTTCACTGTGCTCGACAGTCGACTGCTCGAAAACTAATTAACATCTGTTTGTTGGTGGCGGCCCCTGCTGGACAGACCACAGAATAGCAGGTCACAAACCTCTTAGCTGCAATAGAAAGTGTCCAACAAGACTCCGTGTGAGGACAGGTTCGAATCACACCAACACAACCGTGCATTTATTATTTACTGGTCCATTTATTGGAGCGTTTATCTTCTCAGCTCCTCATAAATACATCATCACGTCATTTAAATTCATGGAACTGTTTCATTTTAAAGGTCACAAGAAGGAATCTGCACGTTTATGAAATATTCAGAAGGAGGTTCAGTTTTCAGCTGCACGTTGATCGACAGGATTAACTAAAAAATCGGATTCTGATTTCCGGTGAACTTGGTGGAAAGAAGAGACTGAGCTGAATGTTTGATTTCTTTCTTTAACTGATTTATCAGAGAACAATCCATGAATCTAGATGATTAAGATGGAGGCTCGTTTCTGAATATATCAGATGTAAATGTGTTTTAATAATCATTAAATTAATTATCTGTTAAACACAAACCAACTCGTCCACACCCAGATATGTGACATATAATCCACCCCCCCCCCCCTGCTTACCGTACATTGCCTGCTGCGGCCCCGGCTGGCCCTCGGCCTGGCCGGGGAACTGGGGGCCGGGGCCCATCTGCTGAGGAGGGGCCCCAGATGTCAGCATCCGTGGACCCCCCTGCAGCATCGAGTAGACAGTCTGGAAATTTCAAGAACAGAGATTTTTT